GGGGGGGGGGGGGCAAATCCGGCCTCCCATCGCCGATTGGGGACCCTAACCTTATTTTGCCGGAATTTCGCGGGGCACTTGCCCAGGCATGCCCCCTTCCTCAGCCCGTGATGAAGGTTAAAATGAGACGTAATTCAAAATTTTTATAAATGGAAAAATTATTTAAAATAATCTCAAATTTACTCTGTTTTTCAAAAATAATATCACCTTTAACTGTGATATATAATAATCTCAACTTTACGGAAATTTGAGAGTTTTGGGCCGCCGTTAAGCTGCTAACGGTAGGTTAACGAAACAATATATTTTGCGCAACAAAATGAAAGTTAGGATTATTTTTTTATGAATATGCGTTTATATTTTTTTGAAATTTTTATTTAAATTTTTTTAAATAACTTTCTACTTCAATTTCTTTTTCCTTTTTTGAAGATTAGTCTTATCTTATACCCAGTAAAAAATAAAAAATAGATACTCCGTATAAAAAACTCAAAAATGTGAAAAATAACAAAAATCATACAAAATTCATGAAATAAATAAGGCAATCAATACAAACTAAACTAAAATTGAAAAGAAACAAAAAATAAAAATATAACGAGTTAAATGTTCTAACATTTTACGCACTATACAGATCGAGTATTAATGTACAACTTATGTCATAGTTTTTGGGCTATATATAGGGGTTGGTTCAAGTGAAAATGTTCATTACTGCGAGAATAGATGATCTTATCATGAGAATGGTGCATTTTTATGCCGTCACGATGCATTTGTACATTTTAGCAGTGCATTTTTTGCACTGGGAGTAAAGTTCAACTTATTTACTATAATGCCACCGCATTTTCTCAGAATTTTTCAGTTTTTTTTGAATTTTTCAATTCCTTAGATCTTACATCTAATGCACGAGATGCATTCTTATTTCTTTCATTAGATTGCATTCTGAGTTCGGGATTCAGGCTCTCAAGAGTGCAGTACCTAGACCTTCTTTAGATCGAAGTTTAACACAATGAGATATCCTCCTTAATGAACACTGGGAAGGAGCCGAGGCAGGCATGGGGTGTGAAGCACCTGCCAGAACTTGGAGTGGCGCTATCAATGTTGATCGGCAATCCATTCCATCTCCTGTAGCTCCTTCTTTCACTTCCTATAATCCATTTGGGATTCTTGAATCAAGTGAGGACCTTGAGGAAACCCCGGAGGCTCATAATTTCAACAATGAAGACGAGATGATAGATTTATTTAATTGCTCTTCTACTGCAAGGATGATGAAACTAAATGCTCTTGAGGATGCAAGCCCAGGATTTGAAGAACCTGCCCTCTACACTCACTCTGAAGGAGAGAAAACTGTTTTTATTGACTCTAAGCTTGAACCTTTTAGAATCTTAACTCCGAGTTCCTCTAATATGTCATTGCAGCTTCCGAAATTAGCTAAGGGTAAGGCAACCTACTCACCTTCTCATATGGTTACTAGAAGTAAAGCTAAGATTTTAGCAGCAGGAAGGAAAGAACACCCCATTAAGGGAGTTGACACATCTGATGAGGAAAACGAATCTTTAGTAGAAGGCATCCGCTCCGCTTTCAAGAGGAGCTGTCTGTCAATCAGAACGAAGAATATCCAAAGCTTTACTCCAGCCTCGGAATCTCAAGTGAAGCTTAGCAAAAAACAGAAAAAGAAGGCAAAGATGAAACTCAAACAGGCTCGAGCGGAGGAAATAGCACACTTAGCGGTCAAAGCGAAGAATTTAGTAGATCCCAAGAATTTTGAGGAGTTTGAGGATGATTTGGATAACTTGATGTTCTTGTAACTCTTTTCATTTCCTTTTCCTGGCTCATTAGGGGCAGGATATCATGCCTTTATTTCATTTTTAGCGTTGTTGGGCATTGTTTGGGTTTAGCCCACCCTCTCCGTTTGTACTTTGTTTTTAATCTTTAATTTAATAAGATAGAGCGTCCCTGGGCTCTATCACACCCTTAGTGGTGAAGTTTTTCAGGTTAAATATATATATATATATATATATATATATATATATACTCCCTCCGTCCTACTTTAGATTACAATATTCTCTTTTTGTTGAAATTAAGAAAGAGTCAAATCAAAAAATTTTTCCCAAATTACCCCCCAAATATCATTCCTATCACATGGATGAATAGTGTGAATAGTGGCTGGCAGAAAAGAAAAGGGAAGGGTAATAGAGTCAAATCACTATAAAATTATTGACTTTGTAATCCTTTTTGGGACAAAAATGTGAGGGAATATTGTATTGTAATCTATTTCGGGACGGAGAGAGTATATATATGTCTATATATATATATATATATATATATATATATATATATATATATATATATATATATATAACTTTAAACTAGCCAATACAAATAGCCAACAGTAAACAACCAATCTCTAATCTTAAACCAGGCATATATGTGTGGAGTTTATTGCACCATGACCACCTGTGGTTTGGTAAATATGCAGCGTTTTCTCCTATGGTTTCAAAACTTACGTCATTACCCCTCATGGTTCTGATATTACTACGCCAATGCCCCTTTAGACTAAAATATCCTTCAAATATTATGAGAATAGCTCCATTGCCCTCTATAGTTTTGAAAATTGGCACAAACACCCCCTATTTTCTTTATTGTTCTTTAAAATTACTTTTTATAATGTTTTAATAATCAATTTTTTGTTTGTTTGTAATAAAATTTAATTAAATAACAAGAATTAACGTACACTTCAGTTGTCTCAAATTAAACATATTCAATTTTTTCTAAAAGAGATCTTTATTGGTTCATTTTCATGAAACAAAAATCAATAAAATATTTTCTTTTTTTCACTAAAGCTCATTTTTCATTTTCTATTCATTAATTTTATACCATTTCTTTTATTTTATTCAAAATTAAAATAATAAATAAAATAAAATAAAAAAGAATAGAAAAGAAAATAAATAAAAAGAATACTTTTATAGAATAGGAAAAATTAAGTAATGAAGGAAACCTTTTGCGCATTGGTCCAGAAACTATTATTAATGTATAATTAAATATATATTAAAAAGACGTTACTTAATTAGTATTCTTTTGGTCCCGACATACTCAAAAAGATAAATACTTTTTTAAACAAAAAACGAAAATATTTAATTTCAAAAATAAAGTATATGTTAATAAATTTTTTATTTCATTTTTATTTCAAACACAAACATTTTTTATTTTTAAAACTTTTAAAAAAATGTAGGTTTGAAAAATCATTTTTTCATTATTTTACACACAAATATTTTTCTTCTCTTTATGAAAAAATGAAAAGAAAAAAAAACAATAAAGAAAAAGGGGAGGGGGTGTGGATGCCCATTTCCAAAATTATAGGGGGCGCGGAGTTATTTACCTAATATGTGAAAAATTAAATATATATTAAATATACATTAATAATAGTTTCTCGAAGACGGCTTTGACTCAAAACAGTCCAGTTTGAACACCCCTCCTTTTTGTTCTCCGGATCGGAGTATATATTTTAGAATAAAAAAAATCTTCCATTTACTTTGTTTTAGTGGGTGGATTAAAAGAAATGAGATTCTTTGGAATTTTTTTGCATTTTAAAAATTGATGGGTATTCGATTGTGAAATTTTTAAAAAATCAATGAAATTCGGTTGACCACCTCAACATACTATTATTATTATTATTATTAAATTATTATTATTATTATTATTAAATTATTATTATTATTATTATTAAATTATATTATTATTATTATTATTATTATTATTATTATTATTATTATTCCTCCGTATTATAGTACAAGCCACATGCATGCTTAGCTACCGTAAGTGGTTTGTGATCTCCACTTCCCTATATATAGTGACCCAAAACCTACATAGCCTTCCACCCAAACTTATCCATTAGATAAGAGCATTTCTCAGTTTCCCATCCTATCTTCTATTCTCCATTCCACTTTGTTCAAATTTCCAAAGGGGTCGAAAAGCCATGAAGGTGAAAATAGTAAGCACGAGAATTGTAAAACCTTTCTATGAAGGAAATCCCGTCATCCCTCCATCAACAACCCAAACCCCCCTTAGCGTTTTTGACGAGGTTTCTTATGATGCTCAAATGGCTGTTATTTACGCCTACCGCCCGCCCACCCCTTCAAATGGTGTCATCGAGTTAGGGCTTAGGAAAGCTCTGTCGGTGTACCGGGAATGGGCAGGCACGTTGGGCAAGGACGAGCATACGGGTAAACCTGTCATTTTACTCAATGACCAAGGGGCTAAATTTGTGGAAGCAGTAGGTGACACCGCCCTAAGTAATGTAATGCCCTTGAAGCCATCTCCGTCATTGCTCGCCCTTCACCCTGGTTTAAAGGGCGCGACGGAGCTAGTCCAAGTCCAACTAACGCGCTTCACCTGTGGCTCTCTCGTGGTTGGGTTCACCTCTCATCACCTCGTTGCAGATGGCCACTCAACAAGCAATTTCTTGGTTGCATGGGGAAACGCGTGTCGTGGCCTCAAGGTCCAACCCTTACCCCTACGCGACAGGACGATTTTCATTCCACGAAGCCCATCAAGAATCGAATACGAGCACATCGAGGCCGAATACACCTCAAAACAGGCGAAGAAAAATGATCATTTTTCCAACAACGACGGCATTGTGGTTCATAAAGTCCACTTCACCTTAGATTTCCTAGCCAAGCTCAAGGCCAAGGCCTCGAGCTCCATGAGCACGAGGCCCTATAGCACTTTTGAAAGCCTCCTGGCCCACCTCTGGCGGGCCATTACCAAGGCCAGAAACCTCGGAAGCTTTGAAAGCACCCACATAAAAATCTCTGTGGACGGGCGTGCACGCCTCAACCCCAAAGTACCCAACGACTACTTCGGCAACCTAGTTTTATGGGCATTTCCTACCTCAAAGGTCAAAGACCTATTGCGCGAGCCGCTACCTTACGCAGCAAAGCTCATCCACGACGCCGTTGGGAAGGTGAACAACAACTACTTCAAGTCATTCATAGATTTCGCAAACTCTGGGGTGGTGGAGGAAGAAAGTCTTGTTCCCACGGCGGATATGGACAAGCACGTCCTACGTCCGAATTTGGAGGTTGATAGTTGGCTAAGGTTTCCATTCTATGACTTGAATTTTGGGACCGGGTGTCCTTACATTTTCATGCCTTCATATTACCCAACCGAAGGAATGCTGTTTCTGCTTCCCTCATTCATAGGAGATGGAAGCATAGATGCTTTCATTCCATTGTTCGAAGACAACTTGGAAACCTTCAAGCAGATTTGTCATTCTCTTGATTGATGTTGAGGATGAGATTTGCTAGGGGTACCTCCAAGGTAGTGTATCCACAAATACACATACACCACCTTGTCACAGACACACAAAAGCACTCACTTTTTATGTTTCATTCAAAACACAGACAGTGGGTATCTTTATGTATATGTGAGAAGGTGGTGTATAATTGAAGTACATCATCTTGGAGTACTCCAGATTATATATGAGCAAAAGTTTTGTTTGGTGGGTGAGAAAGGTATATTGTATTATATTGGTCAAAGAATTAGGTAGCAAATTAAATAATTGAATTGTATTGGTATATGTGAGTATGTCACTGTCATACTAAATTTGTTTGGTTGTTTCGTCAATGAGGGTTTTCCTCTAAGTTCGTTATTAATTAATTATAACAATATATGCATGCATTAATCTTTATGATTTGTAAACATCTTAACAGATGTAATGTTTCGTAATATACAAGATTTATGATGTGTTTATTTTATTTTAAATTAATATTGTAAGCTATCCCGTACTTTATTGTCCCAATCTGATCTCTCTCTTATAGTCTTACGTAAACCGAATTGAAAACTAAGAGTGTAGTATTTCAAATTGAGTATTTGTCCAGTTTTGATTTTTTATAGAGAAAATTAATGAACTTTGACCACTAATTAAATAAAAATTATACTTCCAGTGGGCAAAGGTTGGAAATAATTTTATTAAATTGTGTTTTTACATTACCACATAATTTGAAAGAAAAAGAAAAGAAAGGAATTTTGTTTTTCATTCTTTAGGAAAATCTTTTTTTTTCTTTTTCTTTCAAATTATGTGGTAATGTAAAAACACAACTATTTTAAGGATTAGTGACTAGTGTGGTTACGTTCTAGGCGAACAAGTTCTAGTGGAACACAATTGATGTTGATATCAACTTTGGTTTACCTCATCGTCATCATCATAATTTAAATTTGAATTCGAATAATGATAATAATAATGGCAATCAAAACTAATAAAAATAATTGTTGTTGTTGTTATTTGAATTCAAATTCAAATTTTAACTTATAATAATAATTTGAATGCAAATTTAAATTATGATGATGATGATAATACAGATTAATTTAACTTTAATTCGAATAAGGTTCATTCAGATCAGATCACATCAATTAAGATCAGATCAAATTGATTCAGATCATGTCAACCTTAAAAAATTCACTTCAGATCAGACCAGTCGAAGAGAACGCAGCGTTAAACCATAATAAATTAAACTATACTTGTATTAAACTAATGATTGTAAAAACTATTAATGATTTAACGCTATAATAACCATGTCTCTGAGTATTTGTCTACTTTTATCTTTTTTTAGTTAAAATTCACAAACTTTGACCACTAATTAAATAAAATTGGCAATAGATATTGATACAAAAATAATTTTTTTAGATTTTTATACAATATTTTCAAAATACTATTTTATCTAATTAATATACCCTATAATTTTTATTTAATTTTAGGTCAAATATCAAAATTGATTGACTGGAAAAATTTAAAATTAGACAAATATTCAAGAATGGAGTTAGTATTAATATACAAAACAAACTTATGGTATTATATATATATATATATATATATATATATATATATATATATATATATATATATATATATATATATATATATATATATATATATATAGACACACACACATACATATATATATAGTACGGAGTAATAGCTAACCGATATTGGCCTTTTCCTTTTCATTTGAATACATTTTAACCAAAGTATTTTGCAGTTGTCCCATAAAAGTCAAAGTAATAAATTTTACTAAGACGGAAGCGGTGGATGGCAAAGATGCATGGATCATGATACGTATACACACATATGAACATGCTTTTGATATGAAGCCTCTTAATAAGAATAATACGTGTTTATATTCCCTTTATTAAAAAGAGAGAATAAGACGTTTATAGCTAGCATGTTTTTGTTACTAAATTTATTCTAACCGTATGAAACTCCGACGACATTAGCTTAGCAGTAACCCAAATTGAACACTCCATCTATTGAATGGAGGATGTAATTAAGGGCACCTCAAGATGCATGTCATTTCACACAAAAAAGATAACCCTCTCTCTAGATCTAATCTTTCCATTTGATTTTTTACAATATCCAACGTAATACTTTATATATATATATATATATATATATATATATATATATATATATATATATATATATATATATATATATATATATATATATATATATATATATATATATATATATATATATATATATAAATAATATTAGTATCACACTCGTGCGTGGTCATTTTCACGTCATTAAATTAAGATCATTTTTAATGCTAAAAATGAGATGTAATGAATATAGTGATTATATTATTTTACGGTACAAAAAAACACTGTTTTACAAATTTCAAAAGATTTCTTTGTATACTACATTATTCGTGCAACTTGTAGGAACATTGTGTTCGTTGCATATCAAAATCTTCAGTCCACTATGATTAGTTAATCTTGACATTGCAACATACAACTATCCATGACTAAACACCGGTTTCCGTAACAATCATCCAACATGTTTTAGAGATTGTCCCTGACTTTTGTTCATCGTCATTGCATACGAAGTAACTACAGGGAATTGTCTTCTTTGAAACTTAAATGGAATTCTTGTATCGGATGGTGTTAATAATGATAGTCTTGGAATAACAACTTCTGCACCCATGTGGCTTCCTGATAATATCTTTCCTTATATTGAGTGATTAGCCAACCGTGTTACTATCAACCATGTACCATTACATAAATTCATTGAATGGTCAATATTTCGCAACAATATTATTATAAGCGTGCCTATCTTTAAAGTTAACTCATGATTTGGTACACCACAAGCACGAATCTTATTAAAGAATTCTTGAGAGTGTAAGTCACCAAAAAAACTTGAACTGCAATCTAAGTTCTCAACCTTGTCAGAACTAAGGTGTGTTCGAGATTCGTTACTTGGATTCATCGGTGTCATATATTCATTTATGGAATGGACGACATCCAATGTAAGAGCCAAAATTGTACGCTCCTGCAAGTAGCTTAGTTCATTGGCTATTTTAATTTTTGAAAGTTTGGATAAGTCGAATTGACTATAGTATCTATTGTTTCTTCAGAAGATGGAAGTAACATGTCATCAGGAATTGTTACCTATACTTAGCCGTCTTGTTCGTCACGTGCGATCCCATCGCCAATACTCGCAATCCAATTTCTGAATTCAAATAAGTGATCATAATTACTATCACAAACCATTGATTGTAATCACATGTTTTTTGTCAAACGCAACACTGTGAAGTCTTCCCAAATGGATGTCCTGCCTTTGTTCCTTTTGAAATAACTCGCAAAATTTGACAAAAATCTCCACCAAAGACGATTGTTTTTCCTCCAAAAGTTTGTTGTTTACTCACTGGATTAGAGAATCGTAGAATATCACGCATACTTTTATCCAAAGCTTCAAAGTAATACTTGTGTGTCATTGGGGCTTCATCCCAAATAACTAATTTGGCCTTCACCAAGAGTTGTGATAGTGGACTGTCTTGCTTTATGTTGCAAGTAGAGTTTTGATCTGGAATCAATGGGATTTTAAAACGTGAGTGAGCTATTCTACCACCTGGCAACAGTAGCGATGTTATTCCACTTGACGCATCATTTAGTACTATATCTGTAACACCCTCATCCGTCCAGGTCTGCAGCCCCTTTCGGACTAAAGTATTGATTTGGTAATCGTGATAATTTAAAACATTTCAATACTTTTATTCATCATAAATATTATTCAATACATAACTGTAGCAAAATACGGAGTGTTTAATAATAATGCGGAAGCTATTTAAACCATGTTTAATAACAACACAATTATTCATTTTAAAATCACAAATTCCACCACGACAGTCTCGCCCCTTCCGCTTCCAGGAACATGCCAATTATTCATTCTGCCTACCTGCGTGTAGCAAATAAAACACACTACACGCTCAGCGGTGAAGCTGAGTAAGCATATCTAAAGCGTCGAACATCCACATAAATTGAATCTAAATTCACAAACAACCATTTGATATCATGCATACAATATATAATTCATTCATGATATTCTCAATATTTTTATTTCAATATCTCGATATTCAACATTCATATTCAATATTCAACAATATCCTTAAATTATGCTTAGTCTAAGGCCAGTTCCATTCTTAAACTGATTCTAATTCTAGATATTCTAATCCTTAAGCTAGGCCTAGTTTAAGATATATTTTTAAAAAGAGTTTTCAAATCTTAAACTTACCTTCGCTTAAGGTCAACCAAAAACCGACAGCGTGGTGTTCACTGTTGGGTTAGGTGGTACTCCCAAACGAGTAGGTACTCAAGTTTGGTTCTTGGATCCCGTACGTACGTTTTAACCCTAGCCACCGGGCATCATACCCGCAAGGCCTATTTCTAATCTATCTTAGAGGTCTTCTAGATAGTATTAGAAACCAATATCAATATATCTTAGAGTTCTTCTAGATATCCTTACAATCCAAATCATTTCATAATCATCAATATATTCATTTCAATTCATAATTTAATCTTCAATAATCATTTTAATCAATGGTTTCATCAAGTCATAATTATAATAATTATTCATCATAATCATCAATCAACATAACATTTGATAATAAACAGCGGTCTAGTCTCGAGTGCTAACACCCGAACTTACCGTCATGCATCACATAATATTTTTATTTGTTCAAAACATTATTTTTACTATAAAAATCATTTTTGTAATGATCATAATCAATTGGTATCAAAAATATGATTCTAAAGCAACATTTCCAGAAATATTTTCGGAATAGGAATTGAACTGATTGAGGAAAATGGATTATTTAAATTTTAATAATCCATTAATCATAGAAATCGATTTTTGTTTCTAAAATAATCCATTAAATCAAATAAATCGATTATTGGTTTAAAAATAATCGATTAAACAACTAAAATCGATTTTTGTTTCATAAATAATCCATTAAAATTTGATTTCTTGGTACCTCGTCTGAATAAAGTTTTAATCGATTTTTAGGAAGAATATAATCGATTTTCGGCTACTGTTCATCATCATCTTCCTCTGGTCAGTTTCGAGTATTATGGTTTTAAACACCAAACTTCAATTAAATTATATAGAATGTTCTCCTAGGTTCATAGATCATTTTAGAATCATTAAAACATATTTTTAACATCAAATTCAAGGTTTATGATTCTTGGTTCTTCAAACATGTCCAACACAAAACTCAACCAAACGACTATTTATGAACG